AACTCATTTAGACAGGCAGAGATGTAGAATATAGTGGTCAGAAAACACCTTAGAACCACACAAGTTGGATAGGTTATGTTCTAATGACCTACAGAGCTGGCCATGTAAGTACACAGACACTCATCCTCATCTCCTAAAAGTGTACAAGATTATTTTCTAAACTTCTACCTTAAAATTATATCTTGCTAGCATTGAAATACTTTTTCCTAAAATGTCTAATAAGACACTCATTAAATATGAGAAATGGTAAAAACACACAGCTCATGAAAATTTAGTAATAAGGTAACAAACATCAGAATGAGATTTTAAGGAACAAGTCTGGAAATTTAAATAATAAATTTCTTAATTCCATTTCAGTAAAAAGAGCCCCAAATATCCCATTGTTTTCTCTGCTGCCCCTTATTTAAGAAGCAAGTTGCATCCCTGCCTCCTGACAGAGCCCATTGTTCTTTCACTGGGTGCTGTGAGCACTTGGGGTTCATTAGAATCAATGCACGCAGACGTCTTGGCACTGACAGGAATCACACAGAACAAAGCAGTGGTTCCAGGGCTAGCAGCCCATGGGATACCAGATGGTATAGCATTTACCTTGCCTCAGCTCTTCACTAACAGTGAGGGGAAAGAGAAACAGCCCTTCTGAGAACTCAGGAGAGTCAAAGTGCTCTGTTTCTTAATGAATCCACAGAATTAGGGCAGTGAACATAGAGGAAAATCAAGAGAACTGTAAGGGGTACAGGGTGATGTAGAAGATGGGAAAAATAAACAGTAAATATTTTTTTAAAGAGATATCAAAATTTTAAAAATTTAGTCTTTTTCTTCCAGACCAGATGCAAATATTGAAGTGAAGGAGAGGAGAGATCATACACTTTAGATGTTAGTATCACTGAGACTGATAAAGAAGATGCCAAGGAAAGTCTGTGGTCCAGAATATAAATTCGAGCAAAAGCACTGGACAGTGAGCAGGCGAGCCTGAGGAAGAGGGATAAACAGTATTGATGTGTGCTTCTCAGGTGGGTCCTGAGCCCTGGGCTTTGCGTGTGGCTTGTGCAGCCTGTCCCAGACCTGCTGGCTGGAAACCTGCAATGCATTTCCACACATGATCCCAGTCCCGGTCCCAATTACATTTGAGGTACGAGGGCACAGAGACAGTGTGTTCCTCAGAGAGCCTTTTCTCCTTTCAAAGGAGAGAGGGGTGGTGTCTGGAGGCGTTAAAAATGAGTCACGCGGGCATGGCTCAGCCTCTGGGCCCTGACACCCATGATGTGCAGGGAAGGGTTTCGAGGACCTTAGAAAGCTTCAGAGGAAGCTTGTTCTCTGAAGAAAATTAGTTCTTTTTTTCTTTTTCTTTCTAGTTTTTTTGTACACCAATTTGTACAGTAACTTCATTTACAAAAATAAAGCCCCAAATGGGGCTGCATGGTAAAATATCTCCAAACTGGAAGCAACCATATATTTTTAAATAGTAAATGTACAAACAAAGTAATACACAAAATTATACGGATGAATCTGATAATAATTATGTAATATGAAAGAAAATAGCCCAAAAGTCCTTATTGTATGATTGCATTGGCAAGAAAGGAAACATCTCACAAACATTCCTATTGACAGAGCGGGTATCAGTGATTTCCTGGGAATATACCTGTAAAGTTGTGTTTTTCTGGAAACAGCTATTCATCTGAGGAAGTTTTAAAAAAGCTATGTTTCATTCCCAAAGTTTCTGATTTCAAGTGGCCTGAGTACAGGGCAGAGTTAGATTGCTGTTTGTTTTTATTGTCTAAAAGCGTTTATAATGTGAATATAGAGTTGAGAACAACTGATTTGTGCCAAAGAGGAAAATACCCAAGGTTAGAATTTTCAGAAATTGAGATGAGTGTAATCTTGGCAGAGTGAAGGAGAGCACAAGGGAGCATGCTAGTTTTGAAGAATGAAAGATGCACTGGGGCAGAGCTAGGGGACAATGGGGTGAATGTCTGCATAAAACATGACCTTCATGGCTTGGACTTCGGGAAAGGCTGCAAGTGTAATTCCATTCAGCTGCAGTGTGATTGATTCTGCTGTCTTCTGAAAACAGGGCAGGTTCCGGTGCTGTTCTTGTCCCTCTCTGTGTTAACGTTTCAGATCGGAAGCTCCTTGTGTTTCCATACATGACAATGACTTTTACTAGCAGTAACTCACAAGAGTTTAGCACAGATACTAATATTTTCAAGCATGGTACACTTCCCTGATCTCTTCATGGTAATATAGAGGTCACTGGTGGTAGAGCAGCAAGTCTTAGAAAAGGAATTTATTAACTAAACAGTTTACATTTAAAATGTATATATATATAGATATATATTTCATATGTATTCATATATATCTATATATATGCTGGCTTTTCTACAAATAGTTATTTTAAGAATACAAAATTAGGGCTGGGGATTTAGCTCAGTGGTTTCGCTGCCTGCTGTGCAAGCACAGGGACCCGAGTTCAATCCCCGGTACCAAAAAAAAAAAAATACAAAATTAACTAATGATATTTTATCTAATATATTTGATATGTTTTCTTCCCTTCATCCTCATTTTTCCTTGTTTTACTGTGAAACTTTTTTTTTTTGGTACCGGAGATAGAACTCGGGACCTTGTGCTTGCGAGGCAGGCGGTGGAACCACTGAGCTAAATCCCTGGCCCCATGAAACTTTATTTTTAACAATACATTTTTATTCGACAGTTTTACATTTTCATTTGACTTAAATACTTCATATCTTAGCATATTCATCTGTTAACTTTATCTCCATGACAATTTGGTAGGGCATAAACTTATCAGTTCTTTCCTTATTCTTTAAAGTACCTATGAACCTTAAATTGTTTCTAATCTGTGCAGCTAGGTTCCAACTGGTCATTTTATTACAAGTTTTGCTTTCTATTAATCCAATTATTCAGAGCATCCAGAGTAGTCCTATTAAAATATGCATTATTCCTATAAAAATGTAGATTATCCCATAAAAATATAGATTATCCCTAGCTCAAAGCTCCAATGGTTTTACAAATGTCAACATAAAATAAAACTACCAGATTTAGCCCAACTGATTTATATATAACTGGTGATTGAACATTGAACATGCAGATGACGCAAGTCATAGACATCATAAGTGTAGAGACAGAACTAAAAGGATGAAGATCTAGGGAGCCCTCAGAGGGGCAAAACTGCAGTCATGATACTGAAGGGCCTCAAACTCTTCCTCCAAGTTGACATGCTACTTAATAAACCATTGTGTGCATGCCTGTGTGTGTTAACATGAAAAAAATGTTCTGTACCTGGGCAACAAGACATATAAATATTCTGAATTACAAAATACATATTTACCTTCCCAAAATACACTTAAATATTTTACATGCATTTGGATCAATAGACAGTGGTAGTGTGTATGTTTTCTGGCTGAATCTTCATGAAAGAATACTCTTGCTGTTTGGATGACCGCTGTCGTGGGTCACAGAGGCCCCAGTGCCTGTCTCCAAGGTGTTTTACATGGTTTCTTCATGTGTGTGCAGGGGATGTTCCTATACAGCTAATCCAGCCCCCCATCTCCCCACGGAGGGTGACACTTCAGCACCCCAATGCTTCACATGGCCTGAGTCTTAGTTCTGAGTCTTTCCTAACCTAGACAGTCTACAGCACCAACCAGGGTTTCGTCCTGTGCTTCTTATTGTCACTTTTACTTCTTCCTTGTAGTTATCAGTGTTTGCAATCATCTGGTTTGTGTTTTCTTTTCTTTTTGATGTCATTATTTTACCTCCTTCTAACTCCATAGGTGAAATAATCTACTTCATTTCTCCCCTAAGAAACACCTTTTTTCCCCATAGAAGTAAAAAGGTCTAGTTTTGGTTATTCAGTGCCTGGAACATTAATGACATAATATCTCTGTTAGACTCTGCCTTGGAAATCCTCTCAATTGTTGCTTCATTTTTTGCTTTGCTTTTCCTATCTTTTAATTAAACTCTCAATATAGATTCTTTTCTTAGAAACATGAAAGAAGATAATATAATGCTCTTATTGAACTCTCTCACATATTAATTGGATGTTACTTTGCTGCTCAAATAACCTGACCAGATTCCTCTTAGTGCTTTTTATTTCCTCCTGTTATTCATATGTGCAGGGATTCATCTGTGGAAATTCCTGTGCAGTTGCCTGGGCAGAGGGGCAGGTATTTTGGGAAATCTAAAGCAGTCTGGAACTTGTTCTCTTCACAGAACTGCAGAGTGAAAAGCCATGGCACTCAGCATTTGCTGATCCCATTACCCTTCAATGCCTCTGCCCTGAATATTGACCTCTCTAAATGGCACCATCTCCATACTTTCTCCCTGTACCTGTTCTAATTAATGGAGTTCCAGAGTAGCTTCAGAGAGCAGATTCGATAATTTGGAATGGGGTTGGAAAGAGCCTCAGAGGTAAAGAAGGCAAGTTTTTTGAAAACACTTTGGGATGTGGATCAGCTGTGTTTTGCTGAGTATGGCACAGAAACACTTCCCGACATCAGGAAAGTGTAGCAGCCTCAGAGCTGAAGACAGGAAGGCCCCAAAGTCTCAATATACTGTTGAATGTTTCTGCCTGAAAGTGATTTGTGTCCTTATATTTGTGAAGGACTGGCCACAGCATGTCTAAATGGCTGCAGGTAACTTCAAGGGAACAGGAAAATGACATATTTTTCTTTTACTGGAGAGAAGAGGAAAACTGGATTTTGGTGAAAGCTTGAAATGTCCACAGAAGCTCCAAAATCACTGAGTGAAAGAGGATACAGACAGGGAGACAGGAAATAGTCTCCCATGTATTTCAGAATCACACTTGTAAAGGTATAGATTATATTTTTGTGTAACGACTTGAGTCGTAGCCCCCATTCTGCTTAAATCAGACATAAAATATACTCTCTCAACCATCTCTGATTTCCTTTCATAAAATTTTCATTTAAAGCTAAAGGTATTCACATTCTTGGTCATTTTCCTGTCTTCTTCCCTTCCTCCTCAAGGACTTTGGTCAAGAATACTCTTGGTGGAGAAAAGCAGCAGGGCCAGTTCCTCCTCAGCCCCAGTGGGCCAGCGTTGTGCTCCTCCTCCGGCGTGCCTACCGGAGACAGCCCTCACCCTTGGGGAATCCCCTCATTGAACTCCGATTGCCTTCTCTCAAGAGGTATTGAAGGACTGAAATCATTCTCCTTTCCTAAGCCATGCGTGCATGCTCATTGCAGGATGCTGTCCTCATGGGAGACTTGGTGTGTAGAAAGCAAGACTGTTGTCCTTCTGAGTTCACTGTAACTGGGCAGAAGATGATGGCCTTTAGGGTTAGTGATAGAATCAAACTGACTTTATTAATATTCAACACATTGTAGAATATCAGTCTCAGTATCTACTTTGTTTTATAGAATATATTAATTTTTTGTATTCTTATGCATTTTAATTTGAGTTTGGTGTGAGAATAAATTATCCTAAGTATATTTTCACATGATTATTCTTTAATATTCTCTATTTACTTTTCTACCTGTGAGGCCAGTATGCAAAGATTTAAAGGAAAAATGGTGCATGGATAGACAGACAGACAGACATAGTTATTCTGTTGAGAGACCGTGCAACTCAGTGATATCCAGTAATCTTGGAAGTCACAAACACATAGGTTCCAGTCCTAAATCCAGCACATTACTACATTGATGCCCTCCAAGGGACCTAAGTTTATACATTTCAATTTTGCCTTTTAAGGAAACATCATGGGAAAATATGTCTTTTTATCAAAGACCACATCAAATATGGCTTTCAGTGAATAACAGTTGTGTTACTATCATTGTCTTTTGTGAGATTAAAGGTACAACATACGTAAAGTGCTGACCATGGTGCGTGAGCATTCTGGTGTGCCACTGCACAGTAGAGTGACTACAGATAATAATAAAGTACTCTATACCACAAAAAGCTATAAAGAATAATTTAGAATATTTCATCAAAGATATAGATATTTGATGAGGTAGATATGCATAACCTAATTTAAATATTGCACAGTTTATATATGCATTGAAATATCATGATACCCCCTTAATATGGAAATATTTATGTTACAGTTACATTTAATAATTAAACCATACAAATATACAAGGTGCTTAACAAATTATATCTAATTAGTATGTATAAACTGTGCAGTATTTAATTAGGTTACACATATTTAACTCATTGAAGACCTATTTTTTTGATGAAACATTCTAAATCATTTTTGCTTTTTATTTGATGGAAATTCATTTCATAATTTAAAGAATGAGAATTATATAGTTATATTTCTTGGTATTTTAGTCTGATTGTATTAAGTGTATGAACTTATGGAAGATTTTAGGCAAAGGTGCTAAAAGTTAGGCACACAAATAAAGTGTTTCATGTAGTAGATAATGAAGGTTCAAGTTGCAGTGGTAGACCAGTAGGCTAAAATATAGGAAGAAGTGAGAGTCATTTATCATGTGAAATGGCTCTACCCATTGACTAAACTGGAGAAGATAGGAGGTAAGATTAAAAATGAACTCCAGAGGTACTGGAGAAAGGTTGACAGGGCCATGAGAATGATTAGAGGAATAACCAAAACTAGGGGGAAAGATGTTGAATCATAGGAGTGAGATAGAAAGAGGAGAATATTGATAAAATCTAAAGTATAGAAGAGCAGTCAGGGCTGGAGATCTGGTTTCAGGAGGCATCAACTTATAGTTGGTTGTTAACCTATTATTTAAATTAAAATCAGTGGTATTAAATCAGTTGGATAAGTGCATACAGAATGGAAAATAGTGTGTCCAAACTGGAAGTGGACAGCAGTTTTTAAATGAGAGCAACAAAGAAGATAGAGGACAAATCTAAGATAATCTTTTCTTTATTAATATTAATGTCTATGGAAAAATATAATATACGAACCCTACATTTGGTGAAGCTTACTATATGACAGGTCATTCCAGAGGCTTTTTCATAAACTCCTCTCAGCCATCCTGAAAATATCACTTGAGAGATGGTAAATAGATTATATATTCCATAGAATATATAATATATATAATATATATATATATATATAGAAAGAGTAACCAAATGTATTAACTAAATTTCAAGGGCAAGATGCTTGAATTTCAGTTCAAGTCTTCCTGGAATTCAAGACCATGCTTCTTTCTGTCTGGTACTGATATTTAAGAAGAAAATAAAGGAATATTTGTGATTATAACAATGCCTCAAAAAAAAGAAAACCCAAGAAATAGATATAGCTTGTTTTGGTTTCATAAATGTCATGTATATTTAGCCATTCTTTATTTTTTATTTATGTTTGGGTTTTATACAAAAACTTTTTTAGGTAAATGGGGAAAACAAAATATGCTGAAATGTTTATCTTGATAGCAGTAAATGCATTGTTTGTTAAATGTTTCCAGTTTTCTTATGTCTTCCATATATTATAGTTGCACAATTGTGATCCTCATATTTCTTTCCCAATCCCCATTTTGTGGCTGGAGTTGCTACAAATGAAGATGCTTCTGTATGGTGGAGCAAGGGTTTTCACAGATTCTTTAGTCTCCTCCTTTCTACTGAAGAGTAAGAGTAGCTTGCTCAGCTCCCTTTGACAGTATCTGCTCAGTTACTGTCTGAATGAGTGTGACTTCAGAAGAGATTAACTAAGTATGTTTTCTCTGTTAGAAATCATACAGCATAGATGCTGCTTCCTTCAACTGCCTCCAGGAATAAACTTGTCACAGGAGAATATGAAAAAAAAAAAAACAAGCAAAAAAACCCAGTGCATTGTTTTGTCTCCCCACGGTTCTCAGCAGGGCAAAGAGCTCAAAGATGGCTTATTTGTTTCATGCAGCAATACAAAGGCTTGAGGAAGAGTTAAAATAGTATATGGTATAGGAAAAAAGTTAAAGACTCATTCTATGCCAAAAATGTCTTGTCCAAATATAAAATTCTGCTGCCAAGGCATTAGGAAAGATGCTACTATTCAGAATTCCATGGCTTCTATTTTTGTGCAGTTTTAATGACCTGGTTCCTGTGTGGTTCCAAATGTTCTTTAATAGGACAGCTAGAACATGCTACAGGGGAAACTAGTACATAGACACTATGGAAAAATGAGTTTAGGTTTTGTCTCTGAAAAGCTCTAAAAATGACAAACGATGAAGGTGAACCCCACTTTTGATCAAAAGCATTACTATGTGACTTCATTCTGTTAGTATTTTCCCAGTAGCAAATGTGTGCAATTTTCTTTTCTTTTCTTTTTCTTTTTTTAGAAAGAACTCTAAGAACTCAGTACACTTTATAAAATTGAAAGAGAAACATAGCATTGCACACCAAATAGTTAGCTTGCCACTTTACTATTCACAAGGAGAATCATGTCCTTTTCATCAGTTTTAATTACTGTGAAGCAATAGATTTAGATTTTTAACTGAGATTAGTATTTTGTTCTTTGATTCCAGAAATACTGTTTAGCCAAGGAGTTTTACCATTCTGGTCCCTAGAGAGAAGACTGGTTTTCAGAAGAGATAAAACACTTAGTACATCATATTTCTTCTTATGTGCACAAGTAAGAGGAAATTTGCATCAAAAACATGAAATTTTCACATTTCCTAATGTGAAAAATGCACTATGTGAGCAGTTTTCCCACCATTTCATATAAATGTTACATGTTATCACAATTCATTTCATCAATTTAGAAGGTATAGAAACATGATGAACACTTCAATAAAGGGATATGATGATTATTTTTGCATACCATATGAACAAACGCTAAATTTGTATAGCAAACACTAAAAATATACAGCTAAAAACCAGTACTTTATGAAGGACAAGTTTAAAGTAATCCTAATAATACTTAATGTTAAATACTTGCTCTCTTACATAGGGGAATATCCCACTTACAATAAAAAGAAAAATGGAGAATTTGAATGTTGTGTTTTCATTTGGTAAAGTATCAACTCCTTTAAATATGCATTGACATTTAATATGGATTTGATCCATGGTCACAAATTGAAATATGCAGGACAAAAATTTTAAGTAGTGGACATTTTATAGGCATGATATGTGAAAAATTAGTAAGGTAGGTTAGAATTACCGTAAATCAGGTGATGTTTCTCCTTCCTAGGTAACACTGAAAATACATCACAAAGAGACTCTCAAAGATTATATTTGACTTATGTTATTTAAAGCAATAAATATGGCAACATATTTCATATAAATTGTCATTTTATATACTCAGGGAGCTTCCTGGTTATTATTACCTAACAATTAAGAAAAATAAAAACTATCACACACAATCAAGTCTTTGATTTTAACAAAAACGAGATACACTGGAGAGCAAGTTAATGTGATCATCAGAAAACCTGTTGTTCTGGGCTTGCCTGTGACAGTTGCTAAAATGATGAATCCCAGGAATTTCCTAAATGAAGTAGCAGTTAAATGTCCTCACATTGATACTGTAATGAACAAGCTTAAATTTAAAGTGATTAATGCTTTCCAGCTTAAGCAAACCTAGTGGCTGTTGGACCACAGAGTGGTTTCAGGAATCAGAGTGAATGAGGAAACAATTTTATCTGTCAGTCCAAAAGGGAGTTGTGAAACATGTCCAGATTATGTAGAACTTTTATGGATAATAATTGGTGAATCAAAAAAATAACAAGACATAATAAATATATATTTTCTATTCCATTCAGTTTTTCTCAATTATTTTTAGGGAGCAAAAGCCTTATCTAACAAATTAAGAAACACCTGAAAAATTGAGGCAAGATTGAAAGATAGAATGTGAGATTAATACAATTTGAAGAAGCAAGTTATTGTTCCTTATTTAGTCCCAGTTGATATAAAAAGTAATAATAATGTACAGCTCATAAAACAAACTCAACAATGACCAAGCAAACCCATCATTTCTCCATTCTATGAATTTCTCTCTTTTCTTGATCTAAAGTAAATAATAAAATTTGAGATGTTATTTGGCTGATATCTAGCTACTCCTAACTAGCCCAATGAATTTCCCGTCCCTTCTGAAATTTCAGAATCACTGAGGGGATCCAGGTGCCTATCATTCTTCGAGAGCAATCGATGGTGTTTGTTAACAGTTTTCCCTGCTCAGATTCATTCTTCACCTTGTGACCAGAATTCTGTTTACCCTTTCCTAATGTATGTGTTTTATCATGGCATTATTCAGTGAGTTTTGCAATGATTCTTCACACTGTGCAGTCTATGGTGGGGGATGAGAGGTGGTTATTTAGCTTCACAAGTCTTGACACAACTTTACAACCCTGCATGTATCATACGAGGAACATGGGAATATATCCATTTTACAAGAAGGATAAATAATTTTAAATCTGAATGTTAAAATATTGACTACTTGCCTTTTTAACTTAAAAAAAGAATAAAGCCTCATTTAAATGCCATTGCCCTGTATAAAACTTTGCCTCAGACCCCACCTCAAAGCAGAGGTGATAATTCTCTCTGCTTCTCTAACCTTATTGATATTTGTGTGATAGTAGTTTTGAAATGGTTGCAGAACTTATTTTCTTATGTATCTTTTCCCAAATCAAATTTAAACATTATTAAGGGATTACCTCTTAGCTCATCCTTTTTTTCTGGAATTTTGCAATTACTTGAACACAGTTAGCAATTATTAAATGATGCTGAACAAGACAACAGTGCTCATGGAAGGAAAAGAGAACAGAACTTTTCAGTTGCCAAGAGAAGGCAGAGACAGAATAAAATATAGTTTTCAAGGAGAATTTTTCAGGTGAGATCTTCTTCAAAAAAGAGAAGAAAGATTTTGGAAAGTTTTGTGTAATGTAGATGCTGGGAATTTTAAAATACATTAGATTAAATACCAGCGACATAGTTTTAATTAGTTTCTACCCTGCAGATAAGAAGAAAGCCTGAGTTTATTTGGGAAGATGTCAATGTGTTGCTCCATATTTGCGAACAAGCACTGAATAACAGAAGCCCATTGGGCCGGGGATTTAGCTCAGTGGTTTCGCCCCTGCTGCTCAAGCGCAAGGACTCGAGTTCAATCCCCGGTACCAAAAAAACAGAAGCCCATC